CCTCCTCAGCCTTCCAGGCACACGCTACCACTCCTGGCTAATTTTTGATTTATTGTAGAGACAAGGTCTTGCCAAGTTGCCCAGGCTGGTCTTGAACCCTTGGGCTCAGGCAATCCACTCGCCTTGGCCTCCCAAAGTGCTGGGATTACAGGCTGAGTCACCTAGCTCAGCCGAGCAGAACCATTTTAAACAGGTGAAATGCCCTGGATTCAAATTCAGAAATAAATCTCTACTAGCTACCTGTGTTGAACCCGGGACTCTAATGAGAGAGATAGAGACTACAAAGAGCCAGCTCCGATGCAAACACACGAGGGTCTTTATTCAGGCTCGAGTCTGGGCTCACACATGAAGCCCGTAGAGGCTTCATGGACCAGAGCCCTGATTTCACAATGGCAAGCAGTTTTTATGCACAATTACAGAGGGAGGGGAAAGAACTTTAAACTTGATTTTACATGATTGGGTAATTTCTCCTAATGGGTACGGGAACACTTGGTATTGGTGGGTGCTGTCCGTGATTGACAGAAACCCACTTAATGGGCAGAGTGGAATATTAGATAAGTTAGGTTCATGCAGTCCCTGCGTATGAAGTAACCTGAGCCGGCAGGCAAAGGGTTACATTAGCCCTTTAAGTTTCCATCCCAAGGTATGCTTAGGAAAGCTTGTTTGCTTAACATTTACATAACATAACATGGTCATTATGGGACAACAAAAGCCAAACTTAACAAAGTTTTAAATATGAATGCTGCAAACATATACAGTGAATGTGGGGTAGAAAATCATATACTAATTCTGGGAATTTATAAAATATCACAAGTGTATTATAGCAAGGCGGTTTCTTTGATAAAAGTCTTTGTTCCCTGCAGGTTTACATAGCCACTGCATGTAAATTATCACTGGGATAAAAACCGGTGATAGAAGCAGCTGGCGCCTCTGAGTCTGCTGCCACCTTGTAGGAATGTCTGAAAGGGGCTTATCGCTTTATCATTTACATCCCGTTGTAAAAGCAGAAGTTAGCCTACTAATTTGGGGCTGACAATGCTTAACCCAAGAGTTCTAAATACAAACATCACTTACGCCATTATACAATTGGTCACGACCCGGCACCCGACATATGCCTAATTCTACGGGGTCTGAGGTAGGATTTAAAGTACTAAGATTTCATTTGAGGTAGAATTTAATGTACTAAGATTTCATAAAATACATGAGGTAGGAATACACAAAATATATAGTAAACATGAGGTGGGGATATATGAAATATAGTGAACTAAACACTACTTTTACAGCAAGTATGGCTTTTTAAGTTTCCTGGTTTCTTGGGTCTCTCAATAGCATGCTCTTAACCTAAGTCTATTTTTGTCCTCTCACCTGCCCCTTTGATTTATTGGTATCAAAAGAGTAGCTGAGTGTTACTCGGACCCTAACTATACCACTGCACTCCAGCTTGGGTGACAGAGTGAGTCCTCAGCTAAAAAAAAAAAAAAAAAAAGAGAAATACAAGTAAGGCCAGGTGCGGTGGCTCATGCCTACAATCTTAGCACTTTGGAAAGCCGAGGTGAGTGAATTGCCTGAGCCCGGGCAACTTGGTGAGACCTCGCCTGTACAATAAATCAAAAAATTAGCCAGGCATGGTGGCACGTGGCTGTAGTTCCAGTTACTTAGAAGGCTTAGGTAGAAGGATCACCTGAGCCCAGCAGGTCAAGGCTGCGGTGGCCGTGAGCGTGCCACTGCACTCCAGCCTGGGTGACAGAGTGAGACTCCAGCTCAAAAATAATAATAATAATGGGTAAGACTCTTACTCAAAAAAAAAAAAAAAAAAAGAAAAGAAGTAAGCCATGGAGTAGAAGAAAATATTTTCAAATCTTACAACTCTGGTCAGGTACAGTGGCTCAAGCCTGTAATTCCAACACTTTGGGAGCCTGAGGCAAGAGGATTGCCTGAGCTCGAGGGTTTGAGACCAACCTGGGCAACTTGGCAAGACTCCGTCTCTACAATAAATAAAAAAAAATAGCATAGCCAGGCATGGTGGCATGCATCTGTAGTTCCACCTACTTGGAAAGCTGAGGCGGAAGGAGCGCCTAAGCCCAGTAGGTCAAGGCTGTGGTGGCCGTGAGCATGCCACTGCACTCCAGCCTGGGTGACAACAGTGAGACTTCAACTAAAAAAAAAAAAATTAAAGCCGGGCTCGGTGGCTTAGCCTGTAATCCCATACCTTTGGGAGGCTGAGGTGAGTGGATTGCCTGAGCCTGTGGGTTCGAGACCTGCCTGGACAGCAAGATCTCATCTCTACAATAAATCAAAAATTAGCCGGGCGTGGTAGAGCGCGCCTGTAATTCCGGCTACTCGGAAGGCTGAGGCGGAAGGATTGCCGGAGCGCAGCAGGTGGAGGCTGTGGTGGCCTGGAGCGGCCACTGCACTCCAGACTGGGCGACAGAGTGAGACTTCAAGTCAAAAAAAAAAAAAAAAAAA